CCCATACTTTAGAATTCTGAGATTTGGTGAATAGATACTCACAGCTCTTTTATTTTCCTGGTTACCAACTTTATGTTTGGAGTAGTTAAATCTTGCTGAGTCAAGTCTTCTAAAAGACATTGATTTCTTCTGCATTCTCGTTCTCATTTCTCTTTAGCAGGGTCTCGGTATCCCAGTTGAGCTACAATTGGCACTTCTCCAAAGGCCTCCCTCTTGCTCCTTCCAGGGCCTGTGGTATTTTATAATCTTCCAACTGGAGTGTTCTTTGGATACCTGCCCCAAGATGTTGGTTCTCCTTCAAATGGGCATCATGTCGTTTTTAATAAGCCTTGTTGGTGGTCTAGCTGCCTTGTTGTCTCAACAATTGTCATGATGTTTGCTGTTCTCCCATTGCAATTCAGGTCGTGATGTCTGCTGCTTCATGAAATTCTGAATGAATTATTCCTGAGTTTCCTGTAGGTCTTGCCAACATCTTGTGTTTGAACAGGAAATGATTTTACTTCTGAGGGACACTGTAGTTTTCTCTCTGTTGCAGGATGTAAAGTCAACAAAAGGAACTCCCACTCCCCATCCTCAGTGAAACCAGGGTCCTAGCCACAGAGCATTTCCCTCTCCCTTCAGTTTTTAAAATGTTTAAAATGCCTATATTTGTTCCATGTGATACCTTAATCTTGGTCACAAATGCCTATGGTGTTAAAAATATAAATAGTGTAGGTGAGGAACTAAATATTTAATTTTAACTTCTAATTTTCTACTACAATACTCTTAGAACTTACCATATTATAGCATTTAACATAATGATTAGCCTTATCACTACACCAACCAAGGTGTTAAATATGAGGCTGGGGCCTGTCTCACAGCCACTACACCAAGCTAAGGAATGAACTGTATCTGTTATAGACACAGCAGCTACATCATTGGAAACTGTGCTTCTAGGATTTTTCACTGAAGATATGTGTATATTATAATATACATATGTATATATAATATATATGTATGTATATATATATATATATATGATTGAAAGAATAGTAATAACAAAATGTCATCAAATTGACATGTCTGCATTCTAGATGTTGAAAAAGGTATGAGCATAAATTCCTGAAAGAAGCTGTGTCTCCAAACACAGACTGACTGATAAGAATGACAGTGATGTGGAGAGGCTAGAATGTTGTTAGGACAATACTTAGTCCCCAGAAACAGGCTTCCAACAAACAACTTCCTCATACTGGACTATGTTTTCCCCCATTCCACATCCTCCCAATGTTTTCTCTTTTTTATTTTTTTTATTTTAAATCCCTCAATGTATGTGTTATATCAGAGCCTCCCACACCCATTATTAATAAAACTCTAATCCTCCAAGCCCCACATAGAGATTCACTGTAGTAATTCCCTGTGAAGTTCTCAATCCCATCAATGTAGGCTTTCATAGACCTGTACAGATCTTGTCTGCTGCACCTGGGATCCGAGGACCTCAAAGAATTGGGCAGACTACAGTCCAATGCTGTAGACACCTTTGCTTCAGGTTTAGTGTACTGTTGTAGAAGAATGAAACAAAGAAAGCAATGATCCAAGGAAGGTTATTTAAGTTCAGAAAAAAACATGATCAAAAAATTGTAGTGGGTAGCCATTCCAGCTTTGGTGTAGAAGTTCCAACACCCATTGAGGCTTCGGTAACTATCACGCACACAAGACAGGGCCAAGGGAGGGCCTGAAGACCCAAGATCAGGACGTGCTGTGCTCTCTTGCTGCTGGGAGCCCAGATGCTAGAGGTGGATGGAGGAGAGTTCTCCAGAGAGCATCGTCGGACTACTGCTGCATCTTTCCCAGAACCCTCAACTTACCTATTCCTTCATTTGTAAGTTATGTCATTAAGTAAATCTCCTTTTAACTACGTGGAGTGACCATAATAATTTAACCAATATCTGGCGCCCAACGTTGGGCAAATTACAAAGGTCTGGGTGGCTCCCACCTTCAGCTCCTTCCCCAGCTGGTGGGTACCTAAACCTACCTGCAAAGTTCCATATAACCAGGGAACGCCTACACGGTTCCATTCCCAAAAAAGGGTGCAACTAGTCCTATCTCAGTTCCCTAGCTTAGCTCCAAGACCAGGGAAAAAAACCTCTGTGAGTGAGGCATTCCTCTGCTCCACGTACCGGCTCCAGCTCCCCACCCTCTGGATTCCTGCTTTCATCTGTTGTTGGTCAAGGTTGCCAGCAGGCCCAGCTTTGGAGCTGTACCAACACCACCTTCTGACTGAAAAGTCCTACATCCCCAGAACCGCGGAAAGGTAAGCTAGTGTCTTATTTCAAGTAAAAGTACTTGATAATTTTATATTTTAAAATTGACTAACAAATTTTGAGTAATTCTTGTAATATGGCTGACAACATTAACTCACAAGAATTTAAAAACCTTTTTGCCTGTATGATGAATGACATTCTCCTGGAAATATACAACCTTCCTCAGGCATATTTGGCCTGTACCATTTTGGCATTTATCGTAATAATTCACACAGTGTTCAAACACTGGTTTAATAATAAGAACAAAGATGAGTCATTATTGGGACTGATACAGGCTTTAAAAGATAGCAATGAAGGCTTACAGAAAAAGAACCTTATTCTGGAATCTGCTTTCAAAGATAGCAATGAAGGCTTACAGAAAAAGCTTCTCTTTCTAAAATCTGCTGTAAAGATAACAATGAAGGCTTACAGAAAAAGAATCTCTTTCTGGAATCTGCTTTAAAAGATATTCTATTATGAGCATCATAGTTATTATGATGGCTACCACAAATCTTTCAAAATAGCTAAAGAATTAAAACAATGACTATGAACTAAGATGGAAACATTGGAAGAAGGAAAGGCTCATTCTGTGAGCCTTTGGTTGTTATGGTTTGGGACCACAGAGAGTGCACACAGTAAACAGAGGTGAAGTGATGTCAGCACTAAACCTCTGACACCATAAAGAAATTTTGATAATTTATTGAAAATGTCTTATAACAAAGATTTTTGAAGGATGTGTAAGGTGAGACAGGGATGTAGAGGAAAAGAACAAAGTTAATGCTATTTTAGTGTTTCTTCCTTCTCTTCCTCCTCCTAGCCTCTGCCTTTTCCTCCCTGTCTTCATCTCCCATGATGCATTATAATCTAGTCAAATGTATTTCACAAGACAAAAGTCATTTTAACAAAGTATTGATATAGTCATCCTTCTGACAATTAAGAAGAAAAACTATACAATTATCTCTATAGTGTCTGCAAAATCATTTCTATTGGAGTCAATCAATATTTATGATAAACTTCTAAGAAAGCAAGACATACTCACAAAAAATACCTTACTGTCATGTATTGTCTATAAAGGTCAGGCAAATATCTTAGTTATAATGAGAGAAAGAACATTGAGCATTAGCATTTTTATCTCAAATTACAGAAAAGATCAAAATGTCACTCTCACCACTTGTATATAAAATAATAGCACAGATACATCAATCCTATTGGTAAATGAGCAATGAAGGACATGAGATAAAATATTTGCTGATAAGATTAGTATACAATTTATAAATAAGGAGTCTCAAAATAAATATTTAGAAATAAGTACAATAAAATCTATACATACACAAAGGGTAGTGGAATAGCTCCTGTATGTTAACAGGCATACAAGTTAATATAGACTTTATCTGTGTCATAACATGAACCACTTTTAAAAAAATATTTTCACATGCCTGAATGTTTTTCTTACATGTTTATAAGAACATTCTTTGCCTGTCTGGTGCTCCTAGAGGCCAGAAGAGGGTGTTCTATCCCCTGGAACTGAAGTCAAAGATAGCTGTGTGTCACCATATGAGTGCTGAGAATCAAACCCAGGTCCTTTTCAAGAGCATCAGGTACCCTTAATCACTGGCCATTCTCTCCAGCTCCATTAAACCACTTTTAAATGTATCTATTCTCCAATTTGCACATAAACTCAATGTAATGAAACTAATACTCATGAAGGAGTTTCTAAAGTTGATTAACTCAGTCCACAATTTATGCAGAAAATACAAAGACAATAAAACGGAAAATATGAAGTACAGAAATGTGGGATTATATCTTGTGACTTGTTCTATTTTGTTCAAAATCAAAGTAATTAAGTCTGTGGGTACTCTACATGCACAAATAGACGCATATATGAATGAGACATCATTAAAGGACAGGAAATAGATCTTACCCACTCACAATTTAAAAAAAAAATCAGAATTGAAGATAGATCACCATTATTGGGCTGGTGTTTTGTTTTGTTTCTAAACCTTTGCTATGGGATATAAATTCTTCAATAATACCACTTTTGGAGGCAGGTTCAAAACAGCCCTTTATTCTCTATAATTTCATGTCAACTAATCTACATTGCATTACACACAGTGTGATTGAAAGTCAGAGGAGGGAGGTTCTATTTTGTTTCATACAGGAAGTGAATGGGCATATGAGCCAGAAGAATCCTATGTGAATTGTCACAGATAGCTGCAAGTATCAACACTTAGGGCTGAAATTTTAAGTCACAACAGAAGATCACGGTTAGGTAACTTCTCTTTTTCTGACACAAGTGCTCTAGCTTTTGTGAGAAAAACAGGAATTCTTTTTTACTTTAGTTTCTCTCAATAATATTTTCCTGCTACTTAAATGCTGGTGCTTAAAAGCAAATTCATTGAATCTAAATGAGGAGTGGTTGAAATGTCCACAGAAGCTTTTACTCTTCTGTAGGAGCTCCAGATGGTGATACAACTCAGAATCCTCAAAGGAAATGACTGTGTCCTCTGATAAGGCAGAAAAGGCATTGGCGCTCTGTGTGGCTGGAAATGAAGGGGGAGGAAGATAAAATACAGAGAGGACTGTTTAGCCTCCTCTGGAAAATCAAATGTCTCTCAGTGAGATTTTGTAAAAACCCTGTGACATCTCAGAAACAGTTTCAGTGAGTGAGTCATGAGGAGCAGCTGAGGGAGCCCAGCCTCTCACTTCTGCTTCCATGGAGGTTTATGTTATGACTTGTATCACTGTGGGAGGGGTATCATAATATTGTTGACAGTAATAAGTTGCAATGTCTTCAGACTCCAGGCTGTCAATGGTGAGGGAATAATCTGTTCCAGATCCACTACCACTGAACCTCGATGGGATCCCTTCTTCCCTGTTGGATGCACCATAGATCAGGAGCTTAGGAGACTTTCCTGGTTTCTGCTGGTACCAGCTTAAATAATTGCTAATGCCCTGACTGGCCTGGCAAGTGAGAGTAACTCTGTCTCCCAGAGATGCAGACAGGGAGGATGGAGACTGGGTCATCTGGATGTCACATCGGGCACCTAGGAATGGAGACATAATAAATAACCACATAGTTAAGCATGATATGAATGGACCTCTCCCAAATGACAGTCAACACTAATCACAGTGTAATAGTGAAAGTCCCATTTTAGTCCATTTTTACCTGGTAACCAGAGCAACAGGAGCCCAAGGAGCTGAGCAGGGGCCCTCATGTCCATGCTGAGTCCTGACTGCAGTGACAACTGTACAGGGTGTGACTGGTATATGAAGAAGTCCTCAA